AAACTGAGCTACTCTTTCGAAAGTATACGATAAATTGTTTATCGCTAGTATGTCGCCGAATTTATGTTTAAATTTGAATTCCATTTGTTTAATGGATTCGTGTAATAAATAATGGAAACTTCAAATTCACATCTATCGAGTTTCAGGTTTTGCTTGAAAATAAACAATAGGCAACTCATAATTTAATATATAAAACCAGGGATGGATTGCATGTCCCTCATGAGAATATTATATTCCAAACAGTGTTGAGCAGATATCATACCGGAAGTGTGAAACCGGAAATATTAATTTCGCGCATGCGTGCTTGCATATATCATGTTACTTGCGAAACTCATACGACACCGTCTTCCTCAAGTTACTACATTACACTTAATATGAACTCGATAGTCTAGTACCAAATGTTACATTATATAGTAGTAAATGTTGGCTGTTTTTGTAAAAAATATGTTAATTTAGTAAATACAGCTGTTGGTGTGATTAACCTCTCAATCAATAACATAGCGTAAACTATATAGTGCACACGATGCTCTAGGTTTGAGCTCTAACGTGTTTTTTAAATGTAATCAATATATATTTTAAAATGATCATAATGCAAACAAATTAGGTAAAAGGGATAAAAGGATGCATATTGCATATTCTAGCAGTTCAGATTACTTTGAGGAACGGACTTGCGAGAAGTGGTCTTTATATTGAACAGCTTTAATTTTCGAAAGCCATGGTTTCCTTACTTGAATATATATCACGTGTAGTTGTTGTTGATTATTTTATTGTTATTTGTTTAAAGGAGAATTTCATCAGCTTTCATAATCTTTCGATACAATGTTAAAATATAACGGTATTAAGGTGAAATAGTACAGCAGTTTTATTAAGACCACCATTTTTAACCATAACATAATGGTCTTATCATGGAGTTGAATCCATAATTACTATAACTTGGATGTCAAGTCTTTAATAGAATTCCATCTGCTATCAAAAGTTAAGCTATTTGTCCTGATAAAATATCGACCTTGGGATATTTTGACGAATCAACATCTCGTTATTAAGACCACTTTGGAGGCATGGGAGAAGTGGTGTTAATATCCAGTTGCTCTTATTTTCATGACTTATGTTTGCCTTTAATGAAAATTTCATGTATTAATCAAGTGCCATTTAGCTAACAAAATAGTAAATGGTCGAAGAGCACAAACCATTTGTACACTGAAGCTGCATGGGGACATACTACAAGTATTCACCGCAAGATTCTCTTTATCTATAACATGTTAAATATATCCATCTTCCAGTCAGGGAAAACATTCACCATGTCAAATAATTGCTTTCTGAAAAGCGAACAGTGCAGTCTGTGCTCAGAAGGCAAGGAAGGTCTTCGTCTGCAGTTATCGCAAGGGTATAGATCCAGTTGCTGTCTTAAAATAACTAAAATATTGTTCAGGAAAACACTAATTTCCCGACACTAGTGCATGATTTTACCATTTTTTAAAATTAGTTTTTTTTTGCCACTCATTAGTTTTTTCTTTATGGAATATTATGGTATAAATAAATCTCGCATAGCATATTGCTGGTATACTTTACTCCCACGAACGTTCATATAATTTTATGCTGTTTGATTGGGCAATAAATTACATTAACCTATACATACTATTAATGGTCTTACACCAGCTGCTACATTTTACTCCCACCTTGTGAGTTGTTTTTTTCTTTTACTTTTTTGTTTATCTTGAGATCAAAGTAATCAATATCATCGTCATAAACTTAGACTTTGATTTTGATCTTTTTTCTCTTTTGATGTTCAGTTACGAAGAGACGAAAAGAAAAGAATTCCTATATCTTTTTCATTAATGGAATAATAAGCCCCAGAAATGAACACGATTTTTCCTCTGAAGAAATGCAAATCTTCGTTTGATGGAAATTCTGGCATTAACGCCGAAATCAACGCACAGGTTTGGTCAAACGTGGATTATAAAGAAAAGACCATCTGCAGTATGTTAATAACTTTCTTTGTTCAATCCCCCCAAAAAATTGAGCATACTGTCTATGACCATAAAGCTTTACCAGTATTTGCCTTTTTTCATTTTATTTTGTCTAATGTAGAGATCTATGAATATACCATCTTTTTCTACAGAAAACATGTACCTGAGCGTATTAACTCCCTTTACTTGTGAGTAAAAAAAATATGAAGGAATAGTATTTCCCCTTGGATATGTCTACTTTTTTTGCTTTTCATAGCGAAAATCCTATCTGTAGAGACAATTTAAATACTTAAATAACTATGTCAAAAAAAGATATTTGGGGGGGGAGGGGGGCGAAATCAAGGACAGTTACTAGTATTTCATTTTGTTCGTTTAGATATCAGCATTATTTGACAATGCAGCTTAGACAACGCCACTGAATTGTAAAAGCCTTAAAACATAAAATTTGAATTTCTTACATAAATCAACCTTGGCACTTAAAATAGAAAGATTCGCAAAAAAAATTTAAAAAATATTCTCAGAAATATATTGAAAATTGTATTTATGTGAAATTTTAGTCCGATTTTGCGTGAAAAACAGAGTGAGCGAATGATCTGAAATTTTGAGCTAGTCTACATCAAATAGAATATTTATCTCCAGTCCCGTCATGTAAAAAAAAAACGTCAGTGCAGTCCCTTGGAATGTTGACAAAAAATATCTTCTTATCATTAAAATGATATTATGTTCCTTTATATTTCGTAGGAAAATGTCTCTCCTATTTTTTATGAAATCTACCATGTTTAAATATTTAAAAGCATTTGGATATTTCTATATTTATAAGCAGTACATGACTGACCTGATGGTCTTTATACAGGTGTGACTGTAACTGGGTAGAAATTAATAGAAAATGTATATAACGTGTCCAGATGGGTCCTGAAAAAGAATTTTTTGTTTTAGTTTGATTGTGCTGGAAGCTGTACTCTCGAATCGTCCCTGGAATCAACCAGTACTAAGCAATGAATGTAAAGTCTCTTGGTTTCCAAACTTTTGTTTTGAATACATACAAAGAAATTTTTGTTTTGAAGTAGAGAAGCATTCTTTGTTATGAAGGTATCATACCGGAAGTATGTTTCTGTAAGCCTCATAATAACAACATAAACTTTTGATAAAAATCTTCAATCTTTGTTTTTAACATATTGACAACAAAATCTCAAAATCTTTTAGTCATCTAATCGTCGTGCCGTACATTTTTTGTTTGTTTCATTTTGGAAGAAAAATGTTTCTTTTCAAATATCTGATGGTATTTTACTCCCAGCAGACGACCATTGCCACAAGAAAATGAATAAAAACTGGATTGTTAATGACTCGTGCCAGACATTCAGTTCGTCTGTAATGGGCAATGTCTGCCTTTGCGTAGATTATCTTCAGGCAATAAACTTTGTATCAAGGTTTCTAAATGCATAAACATGCTAAGATATACTGGTTCCAAGATTATTGTCAGACTCGTAACATGCGCAGGAATAAAAAAGTTTTATCTACGTAGGAGGAAGAGCAGACGATAGATTGATTATTCCTCCGACAGCTGCCGAATCCCCCCCCACTCCATACACACAAAAAAGAAAACCCGCTTCCATAAAAAATATATAACGTTTTGTAGCCTGCTTTTTTCTTGTGTTGAAGTGTTGGAAATATCCCGCGAAATTCTGTACATGTATGTTATATATTTTTTTTACAAAGTCATTCAAAAGGATTGTAGTTTCATACATGTACATGGTGTTTTTATCAAACTGTCATCTTCCAATCAATATATCCTTCTAAATTCTCTCAATTATCACATGTTACTTTTAAGAAATGAACATGATAATTACGTAATATTTATTTTTTGTACATGTTATCGCATAATAAAGATTTACGTGCAGAATGTGTCATTCAGTAGCTTTACAGATTCCCTTCCTTATCAAACACTCATTCCCCTCATGGCTGATGGTTGAGAAATTAGAATTTCAGCCACCGTTTGTCCCTGTGTGATCGTAAGAGACTATATTTGGGTCCGAATTACTGTAGTCTCTTTAGAAGGTGAGGTGGTTTTCATCCCTGGTGTTGCTTAATGTTAAAAATGTAACACCAGGAGTTAGCAAAAATCATCTTTCCTGTTTCGGCACCATATGACCTAAATTGTGTTGGTGCACCGTTAGACCAAACCAAACAAAAACTCAGATACTGAATAAAATGCATTTGGATAACCCTAGCCCACTCATGGTCGAACTCGTCAATGAACATACACATTCTGACAAAGTTTGATAAAGATTCAATCAAACAAAACCGTGACCAGCTCTGGATTGTTAACGATTTTTCTCTCTCTTTGATGTGACGTGGTGACCCAGATTTTGAGCCAAGATGACCCCGATACCAACTTGTCCAAGATGTTAATCTTTAAGAAAAAAATTATGACAAGCTAAATTGATGAAGATTTTATCAAACACGTGATACATATAGTGTCAGTAAAGTTTTTCTTTGATTTGACCTAGTTTTTTTTTTACCGCAGCTGATTTATGTTAGAACTTGTCCAAGGAACATTCTAACATTGCTTGACGACTATGACCTTTTGATTCTTAACAAACCCAAAATCCTAAAAGCTCACCTTCTTACGTGCTCAGGTGAGCTGAAACTATTCATGCTCATGTGAGCTTAAGCTATTTTGAAACATTTTACACCAGTGACGACAAAAACAAAATTGTAACTAGAAAAGTAAGTTTTTGAATTCTGTTCTTAGTGTAAACATGTTTTATTTAAGAAGGCATGTAGCTTTTTTCACCACTCTTTAGAGTCTGCTTCCTGGAGAATTAACCAGTATTGAGGACCAAGTTTTTCAATGTATGAACTTGTCAAAGATATCATTTAACAAAGTAGGGTTTGAACACACGGTCCTGGGGTCAGAGACAGACGAGTAAACAACTCCACCCTCTGCTGCCTTTCTAGACACATCTGATCATAACCAAGACACAAATCTTATTGTTTATAATCATATAATACAAATAAGAAACGAACTACAACAACTTTTTTCAAATGTTTTTTTTTTATTTTCAATGAAATACAAAGAAATATTTTTTTAATAATATTCTAAATAACCTGCTTGATGAAACTCTGACGTCATCATTTTATGATTTCTTTTATGAGGTTGACAACATTTTATAACAGTTTAAATATTTTACTGATACAACTATAACAACAAAACAGGGCTTCAATAATTCCACAGTTAATCCTTACTCTCAACAGTTTCCGACCCAATACTCCCTTTTTTTTTTTAAATCTGAGGCCAATTTTCAACATCAAATATATTTGGAATTGAAACTTGAGTTTGAAAAAACTTATGAAAGCCCTGTTAAAGACTGATTTACTTTTGTAATTATTTAAAATGACTGGCACTTAAAACATCGAGAGAGTCTGACATAGGTGTCCTTGATTAATATCTAACAATGCTTGATTCATGTACCTCAATGAAAACAATTCAACTTACTAACAATAAGTTTCTCATTCCAGTAATTACTAATCCCTCAAATATTTTCTTAATATTTCAAAGTTTTTGGTGTTTTTTTTTAAACTTATACATTTGCCTTTTAACACTATACCACTGTATATTAAATTAATAAATAATAGTTATAGCAATTTAGAACCATTCCAATTTGAATCATATTCTACAATGACTCAACTAAAATCATTCTGTAAGCACTTTTTATGCCAAAAACTTTTTTTTAAATTATTTTCAACACAACTTTTGAATTGAATGTTAAATACAACTTTCTTATTAATATAATAAAATAAAGTATAATTCAACAACTTTTCTTTTTACAAAGGTACATATTTCAAATAACAAAAAAAAATCTTGCTCTTTTTTCCATAGAAGTGAAAAATTTAATATAACTATAAAAATTCAAACAATATTTTGAAACAATATTACAAAAAAAAAAATCTGACCTCAATTCTCTCCCCTCCCCCCAGCTCCACCCCTAACAAAATTGTATCATTTATTTCTGACAAATATGGATTCCAATTGAGAAGATTCCTTTCTACCCAAGATCTCTTTCAAACTTCTTTTAAAAAAGCCGTACAGTGTTGTTGTCTTTTTCGGTCAGCTTTAAAATTCGGAACATCATATTCAAAAACTACAAATGTCTTAGTATGTATCTAAATGACGCCAGTGAACGTAAATAAAAAGAAATGCAATGAACATATTTGTCAAGAGATAAACTGTTTACATCAACACCACTACATCGCCATGTAATACATCAAATGCATTGAAAATTTTGTCAACAGATAATTTTCACAGCAGGGTTAAAGGCCCATCATGACAAACTTTTTCTCAAATAATTTTCAACAATGGAATAGATATGTGTAAAAATGTTGGCCAAAAAAGAACGCCAAACACGGATAAAATATGGCATTTATTTGAATGTTAAACCCCTATTAAAACACATTCCCTACCCATCAAAAAAATATATATAGATATTTTGAAAAAAAAATTAATAAACATGTTTTAAATTCAATATTAATCAGTTTATATTTTGACAATTTCAAGAGTAAACTTTTCATCAACATAATAAGAGTTGACACAAAATTGATGAAAAAAAAAGAAGATGTTCACGATGGGCCTTTAAAGTAAATATTTACCATACAACAACAGGTCTAAGTGCGAAGATGAGACAAAAAATGCAGTGAGAATGAAAGTCTGGTGCAACAATGCTAAATAGATGAAGAAGCCTTTTTTTTTTTGAAAAATGTTTTTAAAAATGATGCGTTTTTTTTATTTTACTCTCTAAAATAACAAATGACACCTAGATGAATGTACATCAATCACAACATATATAGTATATTATCTAACACCGTACTGGCCAAGTTTTCTCATAGGAAAAAAGAAAAGAAATAAAATACAAAGTTTTAATATATATAAAATATTATATATTTATGCTTAAAGGAAACTGTTTCAATGCTCCAAAAATAACATAATTATTTTTTATGCTTTTTTTATAATGTGGAAGCACATTTAAATATTTCTTAAAAATTCTTCTTTTTTTTGTCCTGACTTTAAAGCAATTAAAAAAATAGGCACCAAATATTCAAAGCAGAACAATATGGATTTTTTCAAATGCTCAATGCCCTTTACCTAAAGCTAAAGTTTGAATAAATATTATATAAATCGTCCATTATTGAAAAACAAATTTCATTACTGCCATATAATCATCAAAGATGTCAAATCAATGTTTTAAATCTTTCAAATACAATTTATTTAACCAAATTATTAACAATTTTAACTTACATTGAACTGTTTTATCATATAGAATTTTTGTAAAATCAAAACTTTGGAAAAAGAAATTAATAGCAAAAAATCTTCAAAGAAATTGAAGCCAAACAAGCATTTTATATAAATGGTATATAACCCCTTGTAAAAACACTTTGTATTTCTCTTTTTTTAATGTTCTATAAAATAACAAGTAAACTGTATTTGAGCGGTGTCACGACAAAACCAACATAGTGCATTTGCGACCAGCATGGATCCAGACCAACCTGCGCATCCGCACAGTCTAATCAGGATCCATGCTGTTCGCCATCAGTTTCTCAACTTGTAATAGTCGGTAAGCGAACAGCATGGATCCTGATCAGACTGCGCAGATGCGCAGGCTGGTCTGGATCCATGCTGGTCGCAATTGCATTACGTTGGTTTTGTCGTGACACAGCTCATTTTATCCTTGAAACAGGAAAATCATCCAAAACATCATGTGACCTGCACAAATGTACGTAAAAAGAAAAAAAAATGGTATGTAAAACGTTGTCTTTTTTCTCTCACAATTTTTCTCTCTCATTTTTCTTTATTCAAGATTCTTTTAACTCCACTCTTCTAGTGTTCAGAATTATTCAAAATTATTCAACAAAAAAAATGAGCTAACAATGTAAAACACAAATATTTCTAAATATATAGAAAACAATTCGCAATTCAAAAAGTTTTATATCAAAGCATATGTAGATCTTTTTATCAGTTCCCTCCCTTTAAAGATTAGGACTTGATTGAAGTGTACTGTAGGCAATCAGACATTTTCAATATGTCCTGAAGCACTAATTGCAATAAGTACTGTACTTTTGATTAAAGTTTTTAGGCATTTATTAACTGAAAGGATATAAAGCTATATCAAATAAAATATTTTTTATAAAATATGTAATCAATAAAGTATGTTGTTTCCATAGTAACATATTTATCACATATTTGCCATATGCTCTAATGGAAATGTGTTTTTTAACAAGAATTTTGGATTTATTTTTTTTTACGTATTTTTTTCTTCAAAATTCAATCAATTATCAATCAGTTTGTAAACTATAGACATCAGGATATACATGTATAGCTTTATAAACTTAAAATTGCAACAAAGTATGTAATGTGTATCTTATACAAAAGGTAAATTATCCTTCTCAAATGACAACAACGACAAATTGTAACTAACTATGAAACCATATAATTTACAATTAAATTTCAAGTCCCAATCTTTAAGAGAAGGGTTCTAATGATCTACATACCGATTTTAAGGTTTTAACTTAATTTTTGAGAACCAGTCTACAATGCAAGTATTTGATTGGCTGCTTCCGACAGCAAAGCTAAGAATGAACCAATAAAAACACTGCAACCACAGACTGGTCTTCAAAATTCAAAATTATAACCCTAGAACCATGACAAACTGATATGCCCACATAAAAAAAGTATCTCTGTAAAAACAAACTGACAAAATGCCCTATGTACAGTCTGCTTCCAAGAAATAAAATAAAAAATATGACACTTAGAATTTCTTTTACCGGGAATCATTCTAAGAGGATTTAAATTAACAGCAATAATTTGTTGTGCTTTTTTTGCAATTAAAAACACATTAACAATGTTTACAAACAGTTTAACTGCAATGGAATCAAATTCCAGGAATCCCATGTTCATCAACACATAAAATTTGTTCTCTAATAAAACAGGCTATATTCTTACATCCCCTTTTATCTTTTTCTGTCCTATAAATTTGTGTTAACACTCTTAAAAATATGCTATATCATAGTAAAATTTGATATCATACCCAAAGTAAAATCTCTGTTTCATTTCACATGATATAGATTTCTGTTTTTATTGTTTTTTGTTTTGATAATAAATAAATAATAAAAAAACTTGCAGAAATCTTTATAAATTTCTTTTTAAACAATGCCTATTTCAAATAAAGAAAAGAAAAGAAAAGGAAAAGTAAACAGAACATAACAGAATATTGCAAACATGTCAAAAAAAAAGAAAGAACAAAAAAAAAAAAAAAAAAATCAAATATATTCCACAATGAACAACCAAGATAGGGCTTGAGGTATTTGCGGTAAAATGCTTTAATTTCTTCTCTAAAAAAATCATTTTTATTACGTTAGATAAATACACCTCTGATACCTTTACTATAAAAAAGAAAATCGTGTCTCATAAAAAGCCTCTTTCTAATTTTCGTATTTTTTTACATCTTTAAAAAAACTGTTATTATTTTGTTTCATTTTCCCCTGGAACACGAGTTGTATTCAAATATCTCTATTCCCTCGTAATTTCTATTTCGGTCCACGTAAGATATAAATGCATCATCACGTAAGTGACGTAAAGTGATTAATTTCTATTAAATTATATATGGAGTTAACCCCTTACTGCACTAAGGTGATGGTACATGTAATTAACCTTTTAGTTTACAGATTTGTTCAGAATACGGGTAATATAGTATGTTGTTGGCTCACTTTTACTTAATTAAGCCATTGTTGTTACTTTTTTTTTAAAGCCACAGGTGTATTTATTCTAAGTAAAAAAATGTTTGCCATTTTCGTCACAGAATTTGTGATTTAAGAAAAAAAAAACAATAAAACACCCTGTTTATATTCATGTATATGTCATTAACTTCAAAACTCACTAACAAAAATAATGATTTTTATGTTACTGACAAAATTACAATAATGTTCCAGTGTTTTTAATTTTATGAAAAAACAAAGTACTGCAAGCACTGGTGAATGAGACCAAGGTATTTTTTATACACATCATAATGCCTTTTAGCCTACTATTGTACACACACTTATATGCCTGTATGCCAGATATATATATAAAAAATTGTATTCCAGATGTAAGCTGGAACATACTACAGAATGCAGTACCATACAGCAGTAAGCTGTAACATGCTGTCTTACATATGCTAAAATTTCGTTTCCCTTCATTGATTCGCTCTTCATCATAGCTTTTGTTTAACTTATACAGTTTCAGCATCACCATATAACAATGCCGTGTTACTTAATTGCACAAAAGTTATTCCGTAACATTTTCCGTCATGCCCAATACAGTGTTTACATCTTTTCGTAGTGGTTTAACCACATTTAATACAGTATGTCCATCTAATCATTCATACGCTTTTTCTTCAGATAAACGATACATTCCAATTAACTTTTTTTATCCTTTGAGAATGTCTTATTCATACAATTTGTTAACTATGCATGTTTCAAACATTTTCTACCACGCGAGGTTCTTTATCCACAAATTGCGACTTGTGCAGTTACCACTTGCTTTGTAATTCCTTACAACACAACAACAAACAGACGTTTTGTTGCCCCAACTTTAGAGCTGCTAACAAAAACACGATGCTTTCAAAATTGGTCAATGTTCACAGACATGAAGTACAAACATGTTTCCGTCACAGTAACTCCTTCCGTTTGTGTTTTTATTAAAACGTCCAACATATATTGCACATTTTGTGCAGTTTGATTTGTAATTCTTTCGCCTCAAGTCATATCACATGGGTCTATACCACGATAATTCCATCGCCTATTTTTCGTATATTCAAATAAAACTTCTATTTACTTTAACAAATGTAACACATCGTAACAACAAACTATTAATCTAAAATCATTTGAACATCACAGGATTAGAAAGAAAAAGAAATATAACTAGCTAAAAACAGGCTAACTCCAAATGATGAAATTCCAATTTGTAAATCCTAGGATGATTCTACTCCGAAATTCACAATATGGCATTTTTGAAAAAAAAAAGAAAAAGCGTCTCAAGTGCAACCATCCCGCTCTTTTTTAATAAACCGCTCTGCATGCGACTGCAGCAACACTGGCGGGGGAAGCATTGGATATGCGCCAAGAATCGAAGACGTGTGTTCCGTCGGAGAGCGCTGCGGTGTAGATCGTTGGGGCGGAGACCCCGACGGTGACCTGATCATTTTTAGACTGCCGTTACAGTTTGCTTTCACAAGATCGAGCACGTTAATGCCCATTTGTAGCAGCTTGTCCTGCATTATAATATTCTCCAGACGTATTTGTTCAAACGCCATCTCGTAGTGCTGAAGCCTGGTTTGAAGTTCCTGATTTATCTGTATTAACTTGCCCATCTGAAATAAAAGAAAACAAGTAATGTAAACTTGTGTTAAATAACTTGATTCGGAATACAACAGTACCGTTCTTTCACATATAATAAAGGACTTTCAAGGTCAAATGATAAACAATTCTAGAAAATGTTCCGAAAAATTTACTGTTTACTTTTCTTTTATCAGAGGGCATATAGGGATTTTAAAAACTCATTTTTTCCCTTACTTTTTTTTATACAACTCATTAATTCTATCTATAAAGTGGCCTTAGAGGATACTATTCAGGGCTTAAAGACATGCCATAAGCAAAAGCAAACAAGTCACTAATTTCTCACCATGAAATTTATATTGTCTCAAATCAGATACAATATTAAAGTTACGACCACATGGTGGTCCAACATGTATTTTCTCTTTCATTAAAAGATAACATTTGTTTTTACCTATATCGGGACCACACATCAAATCTTTATATTGATCAAGTTAATTACTTCGTAAATATTTATATATAATAAATAGATACAACAAGATATTTTTCCTTCAGTTTTTGATGAGAACAATGTGGTGGCCGACACATACCATCTGTTGCTATGAAAAAACCCACCTAGATACTTTCGTACACTAACAACAACGGCTTTGGTCAATTATGCACAAAAGCCAAATGTTTACTGTTATAATTATCTAGTCAATAGTGTTCTTCTGATTTTGTAAATCGAACCGGTTCTGCTTCAAATATTTGCCATTTTTTGTTGTTTTGCAAGCTAGCTTGATAGCTTCCTCACATGAGGGAAAATAAAAAGTCCTTGTTGGGATTCAAACCCAACTGTTAAGGGGCAACTGGTTAGAAGTCAACAACTTTCATCACTCGGCCATTGGACTCCCCTCCTTAACATCCAGTACCTTCAGAGTGGCAAACAATTGTTCAAACATTATTATTATGCCATGTTTATGCTTCAATGCTGCGGCCACATCCAAATATAGAATCTATGGAAGCCAAAGGTGCCACTTAACCGTTAAAAAAACGTTTTTTATGCAAGGCCATCGAAAGGATATGGCTAACAACAAATTTCCCATACAGGCCCTACAATAATTACATCAGCTACCAGTGCATCTAAAGAGAACAATGCCTGATTTAACAATCAAGAATCTCCTGATAGGAACTGATTAACCAATGTAACTGTTTGTCAGTGTTTTCAGTGCAAACATATTTATACCTCATCATCATGAAACAATACAGAAATGATGGATCAAAATGTTTACTTCACTTCATTAATCATGTTAGAGTGGTTCCGACCAGTTTTCAAGGACAAATAAACTAAACATGTACAAATCTAGGCAAATCGAGACTTTTGTGAAGCAATTGTGTAACTGATGCACACAAAACAGTGTTTAAAGCATACAAATCGAGTAACTGGAGCAAACATATTAAGTGTTTGATGCAAACAAATAGAGTGTTTAAAGCAACAAATCGAGTATTTTGAGTAAAACAAATAAAGTGTTTGAAACAAAACAAATCGAGTAACTGATGCAAATAAATCGAGTGTTTAAAGCAACAAATCGAGTGTTTTGAGTAAAACAAATCAAGTGTTTAAAGGAAACAAATCAAGTAACTAATGCAAATAAATCGAGTGCTTAAAGCAACAAATCGAGTGTTTTGAGTAAAACAAATCAAGTGTTTCAACTTAACAAATCAAGCGTTTGAACTTAACAAATCAAGTGTTTGGAGTATAAATCTGAGAAAACATTCATTACATTCAATACAAGTCTTGTACTAAACATAATAATATATAGAGATTTTTTATGTCATGGATATTATGAAGTTGTAACCATACCACCTGCATAAATAGATCAAAACTCAAGTTTTCCATATTTTTTTTTTATACTCTTTATAGCAATGTTAAACTTTCTGAGAGAGAAAAAAAAATGCACAAAAAAATCCACCCACCCACCCACATAATTATTCTCTCGCTCCTTTGATGATCCCAAAGGAAACCAAAGTTTTTACCACTAATCTCCTTTGATACTGCATGGAAATATTAGACCTAAAATGATAAATCTCTTAAAATGTCTTCTAATAAAACCAGGCATAACGTAAAAAGCATCTATTTTCAGGAGAACATTTCTAAGAAATAAACATTCATTCGGGCATAAACAACTCTCCCAGTAAATCAAACCAGGAGACAGCAGCAGTTCGACAAGAAAATGTATTAGCTGGGTTGTTTTTTATTTCTTCTTCCCTCCATGCAAATTTGCATGCCGCCAGAGCACAATAAGTTAAACCGATGTCAAGTGCGCTGGGGAGAAATTATTACAGAATTCTGGCTTCAGATGGCTTTTATATGTAAATATAAACACAGTTTTTCTTGCCAAAAGTAAATGACTCATTGAACATCAGACAAACAACAGAGACAAGGGAAAGAAAAAAGGCCTGTTCAAGTAAAAACTATGTACACCAGGCAGATAATCTATTATTATCCCTTAAATCCTATACAGCTTAGCTAGATTTTGGGGCACAGACATTTAGTAAATAACTGTCTCTGATATCAAAGCCTGGTTATTTAGTTCAGCTGGTACACCTCAGACTAAAAATACCTGTGTTTACCTTGATCAGATAATAAAAATTCATTATAAGCATTCATTTCATACATTGATATTATAAATTACTTTTAAATTACACCTTATCTTCTATCAGTCTCCCACAATCTCTCTTTCTCTTTTTTTCTCTCCAGTCCTTCACTTATACATCATGCCGGCATTGAAATATGTGAATTATCAATATTATAATTATGTATGCAAGAAAAGCACTGCACAAGCCTCCAATTAAACAAGGGCAACTTGGGACAATGTTCAAGTGGACACAATGCCCAACAGCCCATTCCCCAAACCCCTGCAACAATGGCAGAAAATTAATGTGCAATGCTTCCAATATTCAAATAAAAGACAAACCCTGTTTATAATGGTCTTCTCACTTATTTTACTTCTCATTTATTGTTTCTCATTTATTTAACATTTCTCTTATTGCCTCTTACTTAATTAATTTCTCACATTTTGCATCTAACTTATTTCTTCTCACTAATTGCATTCTAATATATGGTGTCCTGCTTATTGCTTCTCACTTACAAAACTTCTCACTTATTTAACTTCTCTCACTTTGTACCTTTCTCACTTACTGCCTCTCACTTATCTGACTTCTTACTTACTGATTTCTTCTCACTTACATATTTAACTTTCTCACTTACTCAACTTTTCATGCCTCTCACTTACTCAAGTTTTCATGCCTCTCACTTAACTTCTCACTCACATTGCTTCCCTCTTGCTGCAATAAATCATATGAAAACACTGCTTTCTGTTAATACTGTTTTACTTATTAACCTCAACTACTGTAACTTGTCAAAACTCCAATTACAATATCTAAATATAAAAGTTTAACACAAAGAGCTTTTTCTTTCTTATAGATATAAATATATACAGCATATATCTGAATTATTTCCACTTTTCAAGCGCCTTAAAAATATTCTAGAAATGTAAAGTATCTTAACAATGGGACGAATGCCAACAATTTCATTAAAATTTTGAAAACGCTTTTTATTGGAATAACCATGGAAACCAGCTAATCAAATGGAAGAAGATAGAATAGAAAATAATCTAGTTTCTTTCAAGTTCGCTTTTTTTCCCCCTATGAAATTCAGATTTCAACAAATTAAAGAGTCTGAGGGAAGATGCATGTAAAATCCCACTTGATTCCAATGTATTATCCCCCCCCCCCCAAACCCCAAGAAAACATCTTCAAAGGACTAAAAATAAAACCATAAATCATTGTAAACTAAGTTTCTTCTGACAGATCTATTAAACATTTTTATCATAAAATTCTACAAGCCTTTATTCTCATGACATAATATGGAAGAACACAATTTTCAAGCACTATCTCAGAAATGAATTTTTTTTCTACAGAATGATGAAATGATTACACATTTACCCATAAAACATTGGAATTCACCTGGGGGTGTGGGGGGCTCTTGATTATTCTTTAACATAATATCTCAATGATCAAAGGCTCAATAAACACAAATCAAAACTCAGTAAATTTAAATAATTAAAATTTACGAGACTGTCTTCTTATGAATTTTATGAAACTGTGATGAACTTGATGAAACCAGTTCCTAGTTAAATCCATTGAGGGAAGTAATAAACCAGGAATTCACAACCAAAACCAAAAGATAAGAATCAATACAGAATAATCAAGATGAAATTCCAGAACCTACAATTTGTTTTAACTTTCTAATTTACAATGTGTGAAGTTTATATAACAATGTCGTCTACGTTGAATATGAAACCATATAAAGCTTGCACAGGATTTCGACATCAAAATATTAAACTTTTAGGCAGCCCTGAAAGGTAAAAGCTCTGTATTGGCCTGGCTTTGTATCGGCCTAGATCTGTATAGGCCTGATTTTGTATTGGCTTTGCATTGGCCTAGCTTTGTATTGTCCTAGCTCTGTATTTTGCCTAGCTCTGTATCTGCCGTATCAGCCTAGCTCTCTAATGGAGGAGTCATAGACAAGTCCTTATTGTCTCGTGCATTCAAAATGTTAAATTTATTATCATATTTTTTAGCCGATTTTATCATCAAATTTCATACACCCAGAATGACGCAACAATCTACAAAGACATAAAAGCATTTGCACCAAACCTAGAGGGACTATAAATTATATAAATTTAGGGCGCTAGTATGCAGATGGTTAATCTCTTACAAATATTGATTATTAACTAAACTAGTATCAGTGTAATCATGTTAATCAGACGCACATTGAACCCAAAGTACTAAAATTAGTGCAAAGTAATTTTATGTCTCATCAATTTTCTAATTAAGCCCATTTCAGTAGAAATTAATTTGTTTTAGTACAATCGACAGTCTGCGAATGTATAACCACAATCTTAACTTTTTCATATTGAGTTATTTCATTTTTACAGTGATGTGACATCATTGGGTAATAATGTAAAATTGTCATTAATAGCTAATAAGTTCACAAATTTTTACAAGCATAAATCAAGTGCAGTTAGTATTCTACCCTAATACACTTGTCTCAGGGGCACACTTGATTAGTGCACCTGTCAGAACAGAAGACAAGGCGCAAGACCAATTTAGATATACATCATGAATGATGTAACATTGGTAAAACAAGGTCATCATTGATTTCTAGTTATTTACATTTGTATCTAAATATATATACACATATATAGAAATGTATAATTTTATATAATTATATAGTCAATGACCTATAACCTTAGGGCATGACAAAAATACTGAGACACTGGCTGATATTTATGATGTTATCTTAACCAATCTATCAAAATAACCTTAAAGAATACACTTTAAAGTTTAATTTAATGTCATAAAAATTTTGTATGTGTGCATGTTTTTTGTGTTTTTTTTTCTTGTTTTTTCGAGTTATGGAAAGGAAAGCGTGCTTGTTGACTCTTTGAATTTTTTTTTTTTTAAAGGCTTTTGGTAACAGCTATTCTTATATTATGTGTTCAGTAATTCTATAATTCCTGATTTGAATTTTCAACGAAGGCCCCCCCCCCCACAAATTCCAACTATGTTGGTGGAATTCCCAAAACCTAATGAAGTCTAAAAGGTCAATAAACCTCAGAGTATATTGATTAAATTGGTTTTGAATCAATAATGCACCCAAAAAAATCTCATTATAATAATAGTACCTTATAATATTAATCAGTACACAGATTGTTTTATATATAATGACAAAGTCTTTTTTCCCCCCATTCCATACGCTAAGCCAAGTAGATATACCAAACATTCATAGCTCTGGTATAGGCAAGCCAAAAAAAAAACCATTGCTCTTTTGTTTTGCCGACTAATACGAATATTTTGACTAGGATATTATAAAAGAATGCTGCATTACAGATCAAGATATCCGACACCATAAATCACAATACTGTTCAAGGTTTCCATACTAATTACAATGCTAAACTATATCTCCAAAATCTACCTCAATACATAGAACAATGGTCCGACTCGCAGATTATATTTCAAGTCCATTGATACACGTATCGGTCATTGATATATCTCTTTCATCCATTGATAATCTCTCTCGCATGATTGGTTATTGTTTCAAGTGTCACACCAGCAATTTTCATACATAACAAACTGTTCTATCCAGAGTGTCAAACCTTTTATTGTAAGGCTTATCGCCCTGAATGATTGGTCACTGTGAACTTGATCCAAAATATTCACGCTACACCTAAATGAAAGCATGGAGGGGCACCTGAGGTCTTTCTCAACCACTTAAGCTGGAATGTTGCCATATGACCTTTAAAGTGTCCCGACTTATACAATATAACCCGAACAAATAAGCCTAATTAAGACAATATAATAATGTCATAGTTTTTGTTCCCTTAAAAAACTTTCCGGTCTATGAAAATGGGGATATTTGATATTTCACTTCAAACAAATTCATCAAACAGTAAAATATATTCACTTATACATATATAAATGATTAATTTGACATTTATCTGTTGCTGTTTTGTTTTTTTTAATCAGAATAATGAAATACAATAAGTTAGTCATTGAATATCATGAATATATTTTAAACATTGCCTTGCATTAGACCATTAAAATAGCAAGAGAAAAATTATATATATGTAAAACAGTCCACTGTCTAAATAGTCATACAATGCCTTAAGCGTTGTAACCCCTGCTGGAGAAGTGATTAGCTTTTGCCACCAGTACAGATCCCGGCCAGCCTGCACGTCCATGCATTCTGACCAGGCTCTATACTGTTGACTGACTAACTTTCATTTTTTCATCTTGATATTCCTAAACTTGATAATAGACAGTTTCCAAAGTTGGACAAGTCCATTTTAGAAATTCAAACTTTTCAGGGTTACTGGTTAAAACATTCTGGGTGAAACACTGAAATTGTCTTTTTTTTAACTTTTTGAGAATTTGTTTGCCTGTCTCAAAACATGCAGCCGTAACAAAGATTCAGCCATATTCTGTACATAAAAGTCAATTCTGTGACCTTGTGCTTCTTAAAAAGACAGTAAACATTTTTATCGAGAGAAAAGAGTTACGTCATTGGATACAAAAAAGCCTCGGCTCACGTTCTTCCGACCATGTTACATAGCATGTAAGATATTAATTTATAATTTGTACTCCTACATGTACGACAAAAGCGTCAAATACGATCCTACATCAGGGCATTTTACACGTCCAATTACCTTTTATACTTCATAGTATTACATGTTTTTGACGCGAAATAATCAGTGAATTTAATGGCCTGTTCACATTTCTTAATTAGACATTCTAAGAATTCACCAATAAAACCCTTAAAAGACTACGAACAACTGCAACAAAAACGAAAACGATCATTATTATCCAGTCTTGAATTTCCAAGAAGAAAAATAATACAAGCTTGTATAGTGTTAAGAATACCTTCTTATTGCGTTTAATTATGAAAGTAATTATTGCTTAATAAAGGTATCATTGCTGTACACGTTTCGGGGAAGAATTCCCACTAGGTATAACAATAAACTGGCAGTGAAATTAGAAAACTGTCAATTTTCCCGCGCGTGTATATTGTGCCATAAATAGATAACTGAAAATTTCATGTCTCTAGTTTCATTAACATTTATTGTCGCAGAATTTAATTAAGGATAATATTCTCCCTTTACTTGAAATGTGTCGATGACAAAAATAATCCCAATTGAAGTTTTAATGATCATTTAAACATGCTAGGTATTCTTGGAAATACGTCCCTACCAAGAGGAAAATACCAGCATTCCTGATTTAGAAAAGCAACAAGTTTTTTTTTCTATAATGAGGAGATAAACAAGATGATTATGTAAAACACAGAATGCCCAATAAACCAACAAAATTACATGGGAGTAGGTGGGAAAAGGGGAATAAGTAATGGAGTGCAAAACTTCAACTTAAAGGTCAAGGTCATGAGCAAAGGCAATATATCAAGATTTGAAAATTTTGTCTAGATGATTTTTGTGCCCAAATATAAAAACAATTATGCAATTAAAAAGCAAAGTTATGGTGAAATTCCTTGAATTTAGACAAATTTGGCCATGAAAGGTCATAATTCAAACTGATTCTGTAGTTTATATAATATATTAAAGCTAACTATGTTTAAGCCGTCCCCAAACAGACATACCAAACTTTTAAAGTTCTTTAATATACACTATGCCATTTTTCTCCTTTCTTGGAATTCAAGACTAATTATCATGTTCATTTTTTGTTTGTTCATGCTACAATTTTTATTTTTTACTGGGGCTTATTTTACAACTTGACATACAATGTACTAATAGAACTTTAAGAATACAACCACAACCTATCAATTTGATACTATAACTTTATTGATGCCTGATGAATGCGTTAAAAACATCGCCCTATTTCTCAGCAGACTATTCATCTAAGCTCAAAGCAGCAAAGGCAAAATTCTCTTATCTAATCACAATTCCAACTTGCATGTCATCAGAAAAATCTAATCTGCAAAAACCACGTCATTGACCTAAAAAAAACTTCCAACATATTTCCTCCGGTAAAATTTCGCCTTAATTAGATCATTTCAGGCGAAATTCCTGTTCCAAACTTGTTATCGATGTACAAACGGACAATTTATATTTTGAGTCATGCAAACCTACCACGATATCATTCACTTCAAAACTACCGGAGACATCTTATTGATTACCACGCATAACAATTCCATGTTACGGCGTCGTAAATCTAGAATTTAATGTTACATGCATCAGTCCATCCATCTATGGCATGTTTGTGTCTCTGATAATAGGAACTATTTTTTTCCCCAAGAACTACTTTTTCCCCCTTCTTTTCTTCTTGAACATGCATTATTGCTTTCTGTAGGCAATAAATAATATGGAGCTGTCTAAAGATGTTTATTTGTATTAAGAAAAGACAGATTTACAACGTCTTTCTTCTTTATAGGTACAATTCTATTATTTGTGTAAGAATACGTCCAATTTGAAATTCAGTTTAATTATTCTTTACGGCCTTTTATGATGGTATGTCTAATAGTTTATGGAACTGGCAGAATCCCATTATATTTTCATAACGCATTTTGTTTTGCTGGCAGGGGGCCAATATTCCTCCCATGAATGAAATTGGGTAGACATTTTGAAAAAGCAGGAATTTCATTCAACGTGAAAATAAGATACTAAGAACAATTTATGAGAATTCTTTTGAAAAAAATAAAAAATTCTGACTAAATATCCGAAAAAAATTCAATTATAAGTTGAACAAAACTGTATAATATTTATAATTGCAAATAAATCATTTAAGTATTTGATATTAAAACAACTTAACAGATATTTAACCCTTTCCACACGGAACAGACTTGCATTGGATATGGTCAGGGTACTTGAAGAGGCGTACCAGCTTGGCTCAATTCAGCCCTTACATGCAAAATCAAATTTCCACAATCAGCACAATAATCATTAACATTTTACCTCTAAATCGTCCCGTTTTTGAAGTATTTCGACGTCTTTAAGCAGTTTAGCGTTGTCATCTTTTACTTCCTTCAGTCTGGATTCCGAGTCTCGTCTTAATTTGTTCAACTCTTTCTCCATAGAATGGTTCTTATCGTTTACCACCTGAAGTTTCTCCTTGGTTGATGCCTTTGCATTGGCTAGTTCCTGCAAAATACATCATTTATTTTTAGATAGGCTAGTTCCTGTAAAATACAAATTGCCCTGGAAGTTATAATTATGCTCATAAACACTCTAAAATTTGTTCCTGAACAAATCAGTACTGAGCAATGAATGTAGTTTCTTGCTCGAGAAAACAATGACTTGACCCTGACAAGGTTTAAACCCATATGGCTAGTAGAAATCTTACTATTATGAAGTGTTGACCACTTTGCCATGCCGCCACTGGGTAAATTTCAAAACATAACAACAGCTGTCTAAGGAGCAGTGGGCACCACTTTACTCAATACCCGATGGTGAACTGATCATTTTTTTTTATGTTTTGCTAATTAACGTGCAAGTGACCTTGACCTTTGACCTTTTCCTCAGAAAATAGGTGTACTAGAACTCATCAAGGTATATTCACATATTAAGTTCCAATGTATAGCACTGTTAGCATTGAAGTTAATGACCATATTATGAAAACTTTACCAAAGGTTTACCATTGGCCAGTGGGTTATGAAAAAAAGGCTAATTTTTCTTGGAAAGTGAAGAAAAATATTGAACTGCAGTAAATTCTTTGTATAGGAGAAAATCACATCAAAGGTAGAAAATTTAAGGAAAGCCAATTTTTAAATTTCTTGTTTAAGAATAAATAATGCTTCACTTTACACAAACATTACATTTCTTGCATCATCACAAAATTAGCCCTTAAAAATGTATCTGATTTAAGTAAAATTGACTCTCTTGTTCCCATGGAAACGTAACACTATATATATCCTAGTCTAACTTAGGAGACGTGCTTGAAGGGAGTGTTTCAAATACATTGTACATGTGATTTTCTCTCTGCACGCGACTACCGCTATATCAATTTCCAAACCTCCATGTCATTTAGTTTTCAAGCACATGTAGCATATTAGCTAGAAATTATCATTAAATCTAGGAAAAATTCTGCTGTTGGTACATCACAACTTTAAGCACCTAACTTCCTGCTTAAACACGTCATGTGGCTTGTTTTAAAACACCATATATCTGAATTGAACAGAGATTACAATCTTATACTTAGTATCAAAACTTCATCATTCATGAACATTACAACTTTTACTATCACCACTATCTAAATAATCACTGAAATTTATCAAACACCAGGGTTAGAGGTTATAAAGGAATTTTCTGAACTCAAACTCAAATCTCTGGTATTTGATTGGTCAGAAGCCAACAGGAAAGGCACACTGACCAATGAAAAGGCTGAAATTTGAGACAGAGGTCATAAAATTAAGTTTTATAACCTCAATGCCAGGTTAAGTAGGAGACTAAGAATAAAAATGAAGTTTTTAAATTTCAGTAGAAATATAAGCAACAAAATAAATAAGGTTCTGCCAAAGCCCAAACCTGTCAATGATTTCTTTTTTACGCAGAATATGGGCCGTTTCATAGTAGACAAAACACTGGTGAAACCCACAAAATTTGCTGTAACAACAATTTTTCGTCATCTACATTAAAAAATATAAATGCAAGACATGTTGATTCCAGGGAAGAAAATCAATTTTCTGCATATGACATAATCTGCACATGTTGCATTACAGACTTCTGTGATGATACAAAACAGACATAAAGTGAGCTTTTACATAGATAAAAGTGGATATAGATAAACATTACAAATCCTCTGAAATCAAATCATACATTTTATCTGAAATCATAAAATTCCTCTGAAATCGGTCAAATTTAACACAAGAACTATGGAATCTGATCTTCTGGGTGCCAGGTGGCCATCATATGACAACAAATCATAAAAAAAGATTTTTTTTCTTTCTTTCTTTTTCTTTGTTGCATAAAAAAAATTCTAGGGAAATTCACTCTCAAAAAAAGACTTTTCAATTTCTCACGACAATTTTTTCAACACCTATACTATAAAGTCATTTTAACATGTATGATAATTATAGTTTCAGTGTAGAAAAAATCAATTCTCTACACATGGTGGTGTCACAAACAAAGGTTGACAAACCTGCTTTAAATTTCTCCGTGCTTGAATATTTCTGTTTAATAATTCCTGATGTTTCGCCCGTAGTTTACAAAACTCATGTAAGAACCGGTCTTTCTCCTCCTTTTCCTCGCCGATTTTGCCGTCGAGAGCTTGACGTATCATTTCTAACTCAATTTCGAGAGCACGCTGGTTCTCTGTGGTTGGTGACAACTGAGATTCCTCGCCTGACAAGACCAAAAAAATTTCATTATATTTCATGTTTATAATATAAACTTGTATAATTACTATCTTTTAGTAATATAAACTTGAATAATTACTATTACTATTTTATTAGATGAAATTTCGCTACACAATAGCAAATAGGACAAAAATAGATTAAAAAGTTTACACTCTAATACCTTTATTTACATTAGATAACACTTATTTTTAACGCATTCACAACATGGTATCTTTACCTATTGTCAAGTTTGTGGAAAAAATCTGTCCTTGAGTTTACAAATTGTGTACAAATAATAATTCTGTTTTACTTAACTACCATTAAATATTTTACTGAGAAGCATACCATCACTTATTGAACCACTGGAATATTCCCCCCAATTCCCAAAAGACATATTCAGTACAAAGTCACTGACGACAAAATTGAAATTTATTTGTCATATATAAATATATTCTTTGCTTGAATTCATATCTCACTCAAGGAAGGAAACGTGGGTTTTATGACACGTATCCCAAAGAACTACCAAACTTTTACTGTTACAGCTTTTACTAAACCCCCTTTATTGCCACATACCATGAGAAGGTGACGATCTTTCACCCGAGGAATCGTCACTCTCCGAGAGGTCCCATTCTCTGTAAGATTTAGATGGGCCCGGCTCTGGAGTTGGTGCCCGTTTCTTTTCTACTTCTTCCTCTTCTTCATCATCATCTTCACCTTTGCACTTTTGAACGGGGGCGAGCGAGACGTTGGGGGCGTAATTAGGCTCATACCTGTAAATATAATATTAAAGAGACTGAAACTAAAATTTTACATTTTTTATAATTGCAATTTCGTCCAACAATATTCATATCTTTCTATTGCCATTAAAATAATGATCAGATAGTAATTGGCTTAATACATGAATTGACTTAAGGTACTAAATTCACGCTTGACAACCTTTGTTACTTCAGTGAGCATTATTTATATTCATCATAGTAGGATTTTATTCGGCCCTTCTTGAGGTGTGCAGAGCACTGCTCTGGTGTAACACCATTCTTTCACTTGCTTTAAAATCTTCCTTGTTTTCTATATATAAACTAAGGAAAGGACTGTGTGGTCATTATAAATTGTTATAAATACCCAGGCACAACTCTCCCAAAGCTTGCATTTGTTTATACTGGGCCCTAAACTGGCCATGCCTAAAACATGTCTTAACTCTTTATACACTGTGCCCTGTATTATTTTGAATCTAAGAATCTGATGATAACTATTTAAAATCTCATGAATTTTTTGTCCTATATTGTGAAAAACACATGTCACCTTTACAGTATGTTACTTATAAATATTGATGAATTTCAATACATCAAAGGGATTTTTACGGTTTCAAACGAACAACTGTCACGACTCACTGAACCAATTACAAACAATGATAGTAGCTCATATTATAGTCTTGTCTACTGCCATTTTTCCAATAAAAAGAATCGATATATCGAGAATACAATTTCACCACGTTGACATCCAATTGGTGTCTCCGAGTGATTAATTGCTAGATAAAACATATCGTTCTTTAAAGTGCAGCTGCTCTAAAAACCAAGCAAATGATACAGTACATTTTCTCAGGAACATAAATCTTGACACCTTTACAGGTACAGTATGTTATAAATAGCAAAATATATTGACATCGATCTGAAGTGAAAATAATTGTTTCTTCTTTTCCATTCAAACCTCGTTAATTTTCATTTTTCAATTCTTTTCTAGTAAAACTTGCTAACTCTGACAAGTTAAAATGTCCTAAAACTACATAAAATCGCTTTTATAAAGCGGGTAATTGATAACTTTTTCTTTGACGCAGCTTCTCCCATTAAACGTCTGTTGGACTAATAATTCTGTCTCTGATTATCTCCCTTTCTTCAATTGTGACCGAATGTTCAATACGGAAAACTGTTACTGGACCAGTCCACACTAGTATAGAAAACACAATCAATAACAGCGATTATAGAGGTTTTATATTACGCTGAGAATTATCGGCACCAGACACCAAACGGGACGTCATTTTGAGACTGCTCTGAAGCCGCCATACCATAATTCTTATTGCCCGCACTCTCGGATCATATTTGGTCATAAAAATAGCAAATAAAATAGAGTTTTACCAAAAGACCACTCTTTTGTTTTCCCCCAAAACAAGTTATTGCTTCGAAATATTGTGACATACTCTGGATTTTATCAGCATGCTACTGTCAACATATTATCCAGAAAAATCGCAGTCATGAATAATATATGTCGGAATTTTCAAGGTACTATAACTGTTACACAGAATTTTTTCTAAACACTTTGGGACACAACTTCAAGGGATTTTGTTAGGATGTTTTTGACAGCAAGTCTGAAATTTATCATTATAACAATAATGATAAGTGTCTGATCAGAACTATTCAACCAATCAGATCATGTCAACATTGATGTTTGTTATGATTATTCCCAGAGAGCACTGCTCTATGGCAGATCTGTCTGTAAAGACTGAAATAACAAGTCTTGCCTAATGAATGTTTTTATACTGCCAAAAATAATCTTCGCTAGACATTCCAGCTTATCAATTTCCGACCTACTTCTACTCTTGAGAGATAATGTGCATGTAGTACTGATCAATTTACCAGAACTAGGAAGATTTTTAAGATTCTTGTCCCCCCCCCCACTCCCCAGTTAGTTGGAGGAATAGACGGTACCTCCATTGAGATTTTTCTTAACATGACAGGGATTCATGGAAATATTTTTCTAAGACTTGTATACCATTTGACGTAAGTGTGAACCAATAACTTGTGTGCAAATTTTCAGATGATTCCCTGACTCTGTTTTTTCAAGAATACTCATTTTTACTGTACAAAATGACCCAAAACTGAATTTTTTTTTTTGAAAAAGTATGATCCCTCGGAAGCATTAATCACAACAAAATTACATGAAAATTGCAGACTCGGTTTGATTGAGTCTGTACATGTGGGGTATTGTACAAATATAAAAGCCTTGTACAAATCTGGCTAAGAATTTCGATATTTGCTTTTATTACGTCATTGTGAGTAAACTTCGATCATAGGTCAAGTCCCTTTAAGAAAGTTCAAAGATTACTACTTGTTTACTGTGCCTAATTTTGAAAAACAGCGGGTTAAAACAGAACCAATTTCTAATATAAATGAGCCAAATAAAACTTAAGTAGTCCATCCCAAAAATCAAATTCACTATTCGCATTTTATAGCAGTTAGATTTTTTTTTTCAACTTGTTTTTTTGCACACGGCATTTTTACAGCATGTTGTTAAAAAACTATAAAAAAGTGCTGGGTTGTTTTTTTTTTCATTTTCCACAGGAAACATAATCTTAAGACCTTATTACTTGTAGTTATTAATGTACTTTCTCCTTAAAAATAAACCCCGGCATTATCAACATGTCAGAATTCATGCAGGCTTTAAGATATTTCCAATTTGTTTATTACAATATTTAGGCCAATAGCGGATAACCATAAAACTATCAGTAAAAAAAAAGAGAAGAATTATTGAAATTCCTGAGTCTTATAGCAATTTTTAAGAGATTGAAAGGTTTATTTTCACAAGAGAGAAGAGAGGGAGAGAGAAAAAAATGTTTTATAAATCAATCAAATGTGTCAGAAGATTTGGATAGTAAATAGAATGGTATTTGTCAGAACTTTAGCCAAATTGTGTATACAACTTATATTTACTATATCAAAGTCTAAAAGTCAAGTTTAACAGCTCATCCAAGCTCATCTGTAAGGAATTTCCAAATCGAAAATCTTGTTTTCCAACTTAAAAAGTTATGGAAAAGCACTTGCCCATGACCATCTTAAAATCTAGACAAAAACCATTAATTTTCAAAATATATTCTGATTGAACAGCGAAACAGTTCATACCGGTAGTTTATATTATGGGCAGGCATCAATTGCCACAAGCAACTTGTTTGGCACCTGAGCAGGTTGTATGGTTTAAGAGCTTATTTTCTATTTTTTCATGCATTTTCATGAGCATTTACACTGGTATGATACAAACAGGACACACGTGACATCAGCAAATTTAATTTAAGACATTTTAATTAGAGTCAGTTCATATGCAGTGAACAAACTGCTGACAGAAGACACTTGTCTCAGTAACTGAAATAAGAGCGAGAGAAAAACCCAAATTTTTGCTATAAATGACAAAAAGAAGCATCTTTTAGTGGTGGCAAGCCTATTTTCATAATTTCTCGTATAATGAATGAGATTCTTTTCTTTGAAAAAATGAGAGGAAGTGGCCTGAAAAGTCCACATACTTTAAAGTTATTTTCTTATTTACCAAATTTTAAAGTGCTTCAGTTAGAGAATGCACCAATGAAGTTAAAGTGCTCTATTACATCACATATAGATTGTTTCTATGCAAATGCTTTAGATTTAAGAAGGCAGTGACTGAAAAATGATTCAAAACTGTCTAAAATCACTGATTATACATAGCACAATGGCCTCTATTGTACTCCATACTTTTCAAGCTCTTTGATATAAGATTGCCAAAATCCAAAAAAAATATCAGGAACATGCTTTTCTGAGTAATTGTACCAGTGCCAGATAGCACTGAATCTGGCACACTATGTACCTGCCTTAACTTGCTACATAATCTTGCCTGATTTAATAGACAAACACGATATTTCATCACATTAATTGCCTTAAGGTCTATCCAATTTCATTTGCCAGCTGCCAGGCAGCAAGAAGGCACCAAGTTACTCTGCTTTACGTATATTCAATTTACCCAATTTAACCCACCTGGAAACATTTAAGCCACAGCAAAAAATTGATAAAGGAAGCAAAAATAACATCTTTCTTACATAAATATCTGTGAATAAGATAAATACTCAGATTTTCAGCTTCAGCGAAAATGTTTTATACCGGAACCTGAGCATCAATGTAGAAGCAACAATGAAGAAATGTTTGGTACATAAGGTGCAATGTTTATCAGCCCAAACCTGATGTATATTTATTAAGGTGGTCTCTTTATGGACAAACTGCACAAAAACATGACATACAAACAATGGCAAATCTTTATGTCCCCAAACCCCAAAGTGGGGGCATAAAAAACATTACTGGTTTAATTAACATGACAGGTAGCTCCTGCCACAAGTACATAACATCAACACCAAGGGCATTTAAAGTACTTTCCATTAAAATTTATTGACTCAGTTTATAATTAACACGTTTCTAAAAACTCACCATCTCTCATCCCAAACCCCTTTTATGACCCATGAATCGCTAGCTTGATCATACAAAAAGATCATAAAGATTAATTACAAAGATGCAAAACTATTTTTATTGGTAAACATCACATTCAAAGTTCGGTTTCAAAAATGGTATGCTCGACTCGCCATTAATGATCTTTTGGTCTTGTATTATAAAACTCCTATAATTATAACACCTCCCCCTCCCCACCCATCGACCTGACCTTTACAATGAATCGGTCATTGACCTTTCGGTATTGTGGGTGGGGAAGAGAGGAGGGGTTCATTTTGATTATGTCCGTCCGTTGTACGGAAAAACTGTAATTCGTAATTTGAGTTTGATGACAGACTGGGAACCATTGTTAGTTATTAGAGTGTTTATAATGCTGGAAACTATGTTGGTAATATGCACAATGAGCTAGTTGCCAAGTTTTAACTGTTTCATGATGAATCTAATCCTGCAGTACAAAGTAAAAACTATGGAAACAGTTCATGGGAAAATTCCTCCCTCTTAGCCGAGAAACAAAAATAAGCAATATAGTGCAAAGTAATCTAAACTTCAACACCCAGAATTCCAAAGTATTACGATATTAATCAATAGATAATTATCAATCTAAAAATGAATTTGCCCGCCTGCTTTTAAATTTGGAGCAGTTTATTTCAAGTTACTGGTATTCAATATTATTTCCATAAAAAAATATCAACGACAAAAACTGAGAGCTTCCAACAGCCAGATTGCATTGATGCGCAGACGGGGCCTTATAGCAATATAGGCAAAGGACTCAAATGAGCACTTTCGGTTAACAGAAGTATCACTTTCAATCCCCGCAGGTCACAGATTAATAATTATTATAATAAAAAAAAATTCTGTTTCAAGCAATATGTTGTTGGAATGAAATAATAATTCTAAGATGATATAAATTTGACTTATTGTGATCATAATAAGGCGACTTTCCTTGTACCTACCTCACAACTTTTAGGGGTCGTAGGTTCGAGCCCTAAAATAGGGGCGATAACCATAACACCAATAAACCGACTTAACAGTCATTAAAATAAACCTCATTTAAATCAAACTTTCATCATTATCTACTGAAATAAAAAGATTTAAACTTTAATTCATTTCGCATCCTTCTCTTCAATTATTAACGTGTTTGTAGTTTTCCACAAGTTTTCGTTTTTTCTCATCTCCGTATTTAATCAGGTCAATAAAACTGTTTTTTTTAAATCCCTTAAAGTACATCTCCAACAGGGCTTTAGAATTTTTTTCATGAAATATTTCAGTTTTGCATTTAATTTACATAACAAAACCATTCATTTGAAATGCCCTGTTGACTGAATTACTGTTATAGACAGCACCTTTTCTTCACCTTTGAATAGTTTGCAACCTCTAAAGACCCATTCATGAAAACCCACATTATATGAAAGTACAGAACCTACTCTGTTGATATCTAAAACAATTTAAATGTGATGTGTGTTAGGGGTAAGGCTCCCACGTTTAAAATTTTTTGTAAACGTTTACACAAATGTTATTAGAACCGAAAAGATACCATTTAAACGGTGGTACTTCTATGTACTATACTACACCATGCATTTAAGTCGCCAAATGATGACTTACTTTCTATTTTCTTTACATGTACAAAAAGATAATGTTCAGGGCTCATCACGATTGGGTCGGCACACATTTTCTGCATTGTATCCCCATTTTGCTCTTTTGAAAGACCAAAGGAAAATCAACTTTACAAAAAAATGAATAATGTCACGAGCGATTATTGCACGGTAATGCTAAGTGGAATGTTGTAAACACCCATTTTCTGTTTTTTACTTTGGAATAAACCAATTAGAGTTGATAAAATCCATGATTACAGGCAATGATTATGATATTTTGTAAGACAATATGGTCATTTCTATTAAACGGTAAAAAATATTGTAAAGGTTTACGAATGAAAATCGAAACGAGTCCGCTAAAACTTTAAACGTGTAACCGCGGGGCCTTAGTTAGGGGGTGGGGTGGGGTAGAGGTGTGTGAGTGTGTTTGTGTGCGTGTGTGGGGGGGGGGGGGTCCAAATCTATTGCAATTTTAAATAATCTAATAATCCTATGTAAGATACATTTTAGATGCATTTCAAGGTCTGTACATGGTGATGTACAGTCCTTCTATAATTATACAGTTATACTCATACACAAAAACTTTTGTGAAATATTTCAAATTATACATTCACTAAATTGTGGAAAGAACAGACAGAGTGATCCTTGATACTCAGACATGTCTGACAGCTTTGCCCTATCTGAAGTCTTTCATTTATCTACCATTTAAAACAACAAACAAATTATTCAGACATAAACTTCAACACTCATCCTTCATCAACCAAACCATCAAAAACCCAGTATCAGAGATAAAAAACTAATAATGTTATAAATAAATTATACACAGTTTTATCTGCTAGTAAAAAAATTGTTTATACATAAAACACCAACAAAAACATCCCAAATTTCTGGGGAAATTAAGAAATTCTTGTGTACAAATTGACTGGCATAAAGCATTCTGTTTGTTTTCCCCAGGGCAATTATCAAACCATCATAATACAGGCCAATATTAACCCAACCTCAGACATATTTCTGTCTATCAAGTAAAGCCACTGTCTAGCACACTAATTGCCCACTAATATTGATACAGACATTTGTACGAATATCTCATTTGCTGTAATTCACACAAAACAGATAAAATAAGCACTTGATGACATCTGCTGATAAAACTCTTCAAAAAAGAAGGTGAAAAGACTTGTTAATTTCTGCCCTAAAGGCAAAAGAAAGTGTCTGAACTATGGTTTAATAAAATGCAATAAATATTTTATGATGAAATAGGCTAATGCCCTGAAACCAACATGTACAATATCAACAATGATGTGGTGTTTTTTAAAAACATATGTTCATACAAATTGTGAGAAAAACAATGATATGGAGTAAGATACAAAAAAATTTTTGTCCAAAAGAATAAATTTGACATATACGAGTACTATTGTCAATTACAGATTCATATTGTTAATTGTATTTGGGTGTGTGGACATTGTTTATTTTGTGTATTTGACCTGCACTGACTTGTCAATCATTAATCATAAAGGTAAACTGGCTATTATGTGTCTGAATATACCAATACATAATACACAGTGTAAAAGAAAGGTCAAGCAAATGGAAGTTTTAAAATTCTATTATTCTAATGCATAATTTATTGTTTGAGTTTTACAAATGCTAAAGTCCAATGATATCTTCAACAACTTATTTAAATTTAAAGTACTTTTCTGAAATGCAGACACACTGACCACCTAAATATCATGCAACAATATTAAAATCTTTTCCATGCATACATTTATGCCCAGGAACCATAATTAAATCACCTTTTGCTTGCTTTTGTAAGTATTAAAATAAGTCAAAAAAAGGTACCTTACTATATTCTAGTTTGCAATTTTGACTAAAGTAATCTGGTGCAATTTTTTTCTTTCCCGTCTTCTTGAAATTCAGACGGATTTTCGCTTGATTCTATCACATTTTCCATTATAGAATCTCAAAGTTTCTGAATCCGTCACAATGCATTTCCTAGGAGACGAGGAGTGCATTTTTTTCTTTCCTCGACGTATTCCGGGATTTATAAGACCCTAGAGCCGCGACGCAGAAACTTCACGATTTAAGAAGTTTCTCCGAAATTGTTTTTTGCCAATTACTGGTTCTTGTACAATTATAGCCTGCAAGTTTGCGGCAATATGCCAGTGTATGTGAAGAATGCTCCCTGCAAATCGATGGGAATTCAATTACTCTGCCATTTTCCACAGACATCATGTTATCCTAAAAGTTTTCAAAATTTTCAACAACAAGAAAAAAAAAACAACACACCAGCCTAACCAGATGCCGAAAAGTGACTTTCAATTTATGAGATTGCTAGCAACATGCTCACTACAAGTATTGAAGCATGTGTTTTAAAGAGAGAAAAAAGTATGTTTAAAACTCTGTTTATATCAAATGAAAGAATTTGAATTGGGAAGTGCAAACATTAATTTACATTATATGCTAAACAACCATTTCTTGTTTAAAAGTTCATACATATTTCTAACATGGATATCTAACAACCTGAATTATTTTTAGAATCAGTTTCATGATCAGATATAATTATGAACACTTGAACGCTCACTAAACTGCCCTTGACTTGTGTCTCAAACCAACGAACATGATCACCATAGAAAAAGTCTTGTTGCAGTCCACTTGAGATATATTAAAATTTGGGAAACAAACATTCAGGCATAAAAACAACCCTTTCGTCATTCTGTCATGAAAATTTTACACAAATACCAGCTCTACGTTATATAATCTTTTCCGCTGTTGTACAACTTTTAACAAGACGTAAAATTATTTGGCAAGCAAACGGCTGACATGCTTTGTGGTTCCATGACCTAGTTTCCTGAATACCGATCATAATTTAATGCAAGCGTGTACATATTTGATCAACTTGACGTCCCTAATGATGCTGATGAGATAGGTTTTGTTAAACTTTTTAGGGTTTGCTGCGTTTTTTGTTTGTTTTGTTCCGATGCGATAAAACGGTCCTCTTGAGACCAAAAAATAAAAATGTTTGTTTCCTCAATCCAGTGCCAAGAAATACAACAGATTTGGTCACCAACAGACATAATTTCAAGATCTACAGTCTACAGACAGAATGAACAATGTCTGGGTCAATAATCACCAAGCCACAATTGTAAAGCGACAAGGAATTGGAAAAACAGGAAACATAACCTATTAAAATCGTCCTTCAGCAATCTTTTGCTACTTTGTTTTTTTGCTTCCCTTATTGTCAACACAAAAACACTGTCATTTAATATGTTCCTTCCACTTGACTGAGATGGAAGTGGATTAATTTATTCTTTAAGGACGAAATAAATATTAAGTTACTGGTAAGCATATACCAGCTGTTTTCATTGTTACGAAATTTTTGTTGAAACACTTACCATCCCACCCTTCAACTTTCAATCTCGGTTAAACCCTTTATCATTTATAGAGAAAACTTCAAGTACTGACTGAGTAGTGAACAGTGAAGATGATTGACAAAATAATATTTCTCAAGTTATATGAAATCCAGGTTTGTGTCCATTTTTATATTGTCATGGTCATATACCACCTGGTAGAGAGATATCTCAGGTGGCACTTCTTTTATTACTTCAGACACCAACACTTAAGTGAGTAGAACCATTACACCAGTAAGAAAACAAATAAGTAGAACCATTGGACTTTCTGTAAGCAAGCTTCATAGAGTATTTACGACCCAGCTGCCTTAGTAAACCCTGGTATCCAGTATTTTTTTTTTTACTAAAATCAGCTAACAAATACCACATACCTGCTTGATTCTGAGTGGGGGACAACCTTGTCAGGGTGTAGTAGCACTGGGGGACCTGAATGTAAGTAGGAGGGCGCTGTACCTGTAAGCCTGAAATACAAAAAATAAATGAAATTAATAAAAGTACTATTAGGACAATAGTAAACATATTTTATTTTAATAATATCATACCAAATCAAAAATTTATTCCAATACTCAATGCATCAAGGACTTGAGTATTCACTATTGCCAGAACTTAGAGGCTAGGGCTATGTAGGAGTGGCTTGAGGAATGTTGACAACTACCAATAAGATGGAACTTGGAAAAGTTTGCTTCAGAAATTCAGCAGTGGGTAACCACAACAATCATGATATAAATAATACCTTAAAGCATGGAAATTATAAACAACTTAAAGAATTTGTTGCTGTTTTTCTTTTTGCGAAAATACTTTCAACTCAAATCATAAGCATCAATTTTCATACAAATCTTTACAGCAATCTCATAGTATAAGATGGTACCACTTTTTTTCATGTACTTTTATATCTATATCAGATAGCAATTGCTTTTTTGCCCTAGAACTAACATGTTTTTTATTCAAACATTCAAACAGTATCAGTTTACATCTACACTATAAAAAACAATATGGCTGACGGGTGATAAAAGGTTAAACATCTGTGCAAGAAAAGACATATTCAGCTGAGTCTTTAAAAGTGTCTTAACATATGAGTGAGTAGGAGGTTGCCATTTACATTTATATGGAGATCTCAAGACTAGGTCAGAGCACTTGTAAAGTTAGAACTAGTGCAAAATGAAGAGCATCATTCTTCACTGTCTAAACTAAATAAAATAGTATTCATTTGTTCAGTAAAACACTCCATTGCTGGAAACTGACATGTGCCGGCCTATAAAAACATTTTTCAGTTGAAATTCATGAACCACTTTAAAATGCCAGTGAAGCAGTCCATTTAAACCACTCTAAAGTTGGCTTCCTAGAACTATCCAGTTTCAGGTGTCATATGAGGAACCATGATTATGGCACGGCAGTGAGGCTCAAACCCACGAATCCTGGATTGAAGGTTTTTATAGATACATTAACCTATCATAAAGCAGTTCATTAATTCTTAACTTATTTATTTCAACATTCAATGACATGACAACATTTTGATCTATAAATAGACCTTAAACTTCACTTCAAAAAACGTTCGTTGACATTTTAAAGATCACCGACTAATGTAAATTTAGATCAATACAAAATGTTGCCCCGAGGGCTTTTTTATCCATGTTTGTACATTATTTTACTACTAGCTTTTCAGTGCATTTCACTTACGGTAGGTTCAGAAAATCAATAATTGATCTTGAAATTTTCTGTCAATTGACAGGGACACTGTCAATTGACATGGTCTTATATGGTAAGCAAAGGTATTCAACCTATTTAAAAAAAATTTTGCTTCTTAATTTGCGAATGAAATATTAAACCTGTAACATATTCCTTACATTTAAAAGCCATTTTATAAGATATCAGTCATCTTTAATGATTCAACTTCATGGCAGCCACATTTTCTTTCTTAAATGAAATTTCTTGCTTTACACATTATGATTTGAGAGACTACTGGATTTGAAACCCTGCAGCCCGATATAAGAGGCCCATCATATAATTAAGATTAAACACTTTAAGAGGGCTAACTTTGGGGGCTAACCCACTCCTTGGCCCCCCTTGTACAAATCAGATAGCCTTGTGTTTCGATGCTCTTTCTATTACTTAATAAACCATCAATTGTAATTATCATCTTATAATTTGATCTTAAAAATTAGGAGAAAAAAAATGTATCACAATTCTATCTGTCCACTAGTTGTGAATTTGTTTTTGATTCAGTTTTGTTCACTCATTTAGGCTGTTTATAAGATGTTAGTTCTTTAATTTAGTCATATTTAGGACCCCTGATACAGTATACAAAAAGTCATGGTTCCAAAAAGTTGAAGCTTTAACCAAGTTTCACTGAATTGTATACATACTAATGAATCGAAACTTACCCTTCTCTCATAATAGCTGGGGGAGCCGGCAACATCTTTCCTTCCTTCATAGCACTTGTTACAGCCGGGGACCATGGTTGGAATGCCGACATCATTGCACGGAGTGATGAACAGGTCTCTCCCGTCCATGAAGATTCTGCCGTTGAATTTTCATCATTCTTACTTCTTTTCACAGAATCACCGTTACCATCACCGGTCTGAAATATTAGAATTACTCTCAGTTTATAATCATATTGAATACTGTTTAAATTATCTAAACCCTTTATGACCAGTTTCTATAAGTCTTTAAGTGATCAACCCATTAATTTTCAGCAAGATACCTGCGATATTAGGACTGAATCTTATGCCATGAGAAATAGGATGCTAAGCAAGACAGTTTAGCACATCGAAGCACCGACTGAACTCAAAAAATAGTGGCTGAATAATATAATATGAGTATTTTGACCCAACATTGAAATTTCCTACAGCTTACAAATGGGCAATTCCAAATCAAAGCAAAGTTCATTCAATACATGGATAAATGTCAGCATGTTTTCACATTCAATGCTAATTGGCATACTTTATATAAATGATAGTAGCTCAATTATCATTGCATAAGTAAAGTTATATCTTGATTATTATAAACCAAACCAAATGAAGAATTACATTCAGACTTATACATTATATTGTGCTGTCGAGGTTTCATTTGTTATTTTTTTATTTTGTTTGGTTGAGTTCTACATCACACCAACACAGTATAGGTCATAATATGGCAACCTTCTAGCATTACTGGTGGGGGAGGACCTCAGGTGCCCTTTTCGCACAAACAGGCAACCGAGTAGAACCATGGATGTTCCGTCAGCTAGCTGGATAACTTTCTCACAAAAAAGAATCTAAAGTATGTCCAGGTTACTAAGCCACTAGCCATGTAAAATTCCTTGAGAAATATTTAATGTTTAGAGTCTCGCAACTCTTTTTCTTGTATTTTTTTAAAGCAAAACTTTCCTTTCTGATTCTATATGTACCTTCCTTACGTTCAGTTAAATGGCGCACAGCTTTATACACCAGAATTTCTATTACTAAGCCCTTCATAGTCATGATCTTAATTAATATAAGAGCAAAGAAAGAAACTGTCTCTATAAGTTCTTTTAAAAATAAAATAAGACTTGATTCATAATTGATCGGTTTATACTTTTAAAATCATAAATCATAAAATATAATTATGTCACCATAATTTATATTCTAATTAAAGGTGAACAGTACTCATTAAAATACATAAATGTACTTTAAAAAAACTAAAAAGGTCAAAATAAAGTATAACAGCATAAATATTTTGGTTAACAACGCACTAGCATAGTCTGAATTAGCATTTAAATAATAAACACTTAGTAAAACGAGGAGAGAACAAAAACGGCAACAATTTTAATTAACTGCCTACAGAAACATACAGTATCATCTTCTTAACTATAGTGGTTGTAAGTACATAATTATACAACTACACTGAAAAACATTAAATGTACACAAGTAATATAATCAAAGGGCCCATAAATTGCTTGACCGAGTTACATTTGTTCCGCTTAACAGCTGCATACAAATTTGGTCTTTAATCACCATAGGACTTGTTATTGAACAATGGTTTTGTCCTCTACTAAATTCCTTCACAACAACCAAAAAAAACCCACATAATCTATGATACTATATAGTACTTGGTGATGTAGTGTTTTCATATGTCAATTACAAATATATGACACCACTATATATAGTACTATATATTCATAATCATTATTGTTCAAGTTAGGAAATCTCTTCAACGTTCAGGAAAGTTAATTTCCTACGTATTTGAAAACAAACAAGCTTACGTTAATTATAGCAAATATGGTAATATGGTAATAGAGGGGTTACAGAATATCAGCTGAAAGTAGGTAAAAGTTTGTCAATATCACTACGTATACCAAGTGTAGTGGTGATGAAATACAGAATATATCTGATGATGTTTGTCAATATTATACGGCATACAGTGTTACAATTGATGATGAAATACAGAATATATCTGACGATGTTTGTCAATATTATACGGCATACCAAGTGTAGTGGTGATGAAATACAGAATATATCTGACGATGTTTGTCAATATTATACGGCATACCAAGTGTTACGAGTGATGATGAAATACAGAAGATATCTAATGACATCTGGTGACATATGATCACATCCCGGTTTTTTTACACAGATATTAAAACTGTGGTAACAGCTGATGTTATAATCATCTTTACAACACTACTAAATCTTGCTCACTGATCTCAAATCTTTTTTCTTTCTTTTTGTTTTATGCACGCTACATACCAGCCAGTTTTAATGGCAGATCGATATTCTTATATGAATCGAGGAAAAGTAAAATGGTGTATTAATTATTCATCCATTTCAGCATGATGGAACATTTTATAATTAGCAACCACTATTGTTGTAGTCTGGAGCAGTCTCGATTAAAAATTTCAACATTTACTTAGCTTGAACTGAAAAAAACTAGCCTTTAGCCTTTACCACCAGTGCAGAGCCAGGCCAGTCCACATCATTGCTTCTCTAAGTGTTCAATACTGCAGGGTTTTCATGGGTATTAATATACAAGCGATTTTAACAGCATTTCAATCCATGATATGGATCACCAATCTGTTAATAATGAAAACCCTGATACTGTTCGTTGACCAACTCTTAATATCTAAAGTTCCAACAAAAGATACATGGTACTGTAGGGGAAAATCAACAAATAAGTTTACAAAATAAAGTGAATTTCAAGTCCAAACCAACAATAAAAAGCTTATTAATCATATTCGGTAATTTATTCAATGATTATCTATATCTACTTTGTTTAACCATGTCTATAAATCATAGACAAGAAGAGTTACTAATGTCTGTGTTTGACCCATCATATCATCATCATAGTCCTATCTGACAGACAGTCAGCCAGACAGTGCATTTATATCCTAAATAGTTTCGGTTTGGCAGGCTGCCAAAACAGGTTTTTTTTTTACAACCGAAATACCACACGAGGTATAGAGGCATATCCATGCTTGTTAAGGCCTCAACAGACGGTAGGATTTAGCTGTGCAGCACTAATTAGAGATAAGATGTACAATTTTCAAAGCTATACAACACTTGCATTCAGACGGTAATTCCATAGGAACTCGAGAACGGGACCGCAGATTGTGGCGTATATTTTCGATCTTGTAACGGTTTTTAAATACGTTTTTGCTACATCTAAATATCTTTTAGTATTAGCCGAGTGTATGGACTCAAAAAATATATTATCAATTGAACCCAATCTGTCTCTTTTAAAATTGGTCAAATTTTACGGTATTATAAAAAAAGACAAGGAGTGACATCCGCCATTTGCCGCAACGTTTTCGGCATGAGTTTTTCCCCTTTGGCTACAATTGATTACTATTTTTTTTCAGAATTTTATTCCCGTTATTTTGTCAACTATCAGGTATCGTCCGGATATAACGTTAACGGTTTATTGTTTGTACACGAGTTGACATGTATAGGCGGCATTATAACGGGCGTATTCGTGTATTGATTTGTTAAAATGGAGAAAACAGACACTTTAGTAATATGGTCCAACTGATTTTGTCTATCTAAAAAAAGGAATATTTAAACATGATTCATTAGATAAATATTTTAGGCACTCATCTCGTATTCATTACTAGAAAAATTAAAACAAAAATCAAGCATATCAAGGGGGTAACTTACGCCGAACGTTGCGGCAAATGGCGGATGTCACTCCTTTTCTTTTTTCAATATACCTTATATTTGACTGATTTTTAAATTAGCAGATTATATTTAATTGAGATTAGATAATTAAAGACCACCCGCTCGCATAATATGAAAGGATATTCAAAGGTCGGACAAACAATATGTAAAGCCGGTACGGATTCGGATTTATGCGCCGCAATATGCGGTCCTGTTCCAGAGTTCCTATGGGTAATTCTACACTGTAAGAATCATCTGAGGTTTCCCTAAAAAGGATCCCTTTACATTGATCCTTTACATACTTTACTCACTAAATACTTTTTTCGCCATGAGTAATGATTGAAAACCTCCATTTAAAAAGAAAAATATATATATATTATATATATATATATATATATTTTTTTTTTTTAATGTGAAGCCTGACCGAGACTCAAACCTAGGACCCTCTGAATACCGTACTGCGGCTCTGCTGACTAAGCTATCTGGTCGCCTACAAACTACCTCCCCTCCCCGAATTAGAGAACAATTCAATACCGTGACATAATCATTTTCGGAATAATTTGGGATTCGAACATAACACACTGGGTCTCCTGAAGAGTTTTTCAACATCATTTTTACCCCATCTTACTACTATGTTTACCTTTTAGCCCTAATTGTTCTGGAATTTCATTCATTACACCTATTATCAGGAGATAATTTGGTTATCTGTTACTTGTCATTGTGGGAGGTCTATAAAAATCGGTACGACAAGATTTTCAAAATAGAACATGTCCTATCCCTTACATCTTGACATAAGGTTTCCGAAATCAAGAAATAGTACCCTTCACACATTAAGATTTGTCTGTACATCTTAGTTTTAATTGGTGTTGTACTTCAAAATCCTACCGTCTGTTGAGGCCTTTAATGTTCATTATGTGGCGTACCTATAGCGTGGAATGTTAAATAAGTTATAGTCAATGTACATTGCATTAACATACGTTTACATACAAGCTCTGGCACAAAGAGAAAAAAAAAAGGACAGTTTATGTCAGGTGAAAGGTGTCTTTAACATTTCAAATGCGAAGAAGACATTTCTAATGACATTCATACATTGTATTCTTATCAGGCAATCAGGGAAACAATGTGTTAACTTGCAATTTATGTAAACTGAGTTACAACAATATTGCGTGCAATTTTTGAACTCATGGTTTAATTTAAATCTTGAAATGTGTTTGAGAAAAGTAGAAATATAGGACTGTTTAAATCACCGGATGTTTTTGCCATTTTCAGTCAACATTTATAACTTAAATGTCACTTATTTTTGCACACTGTGACACATAAGAATTTTAAATTTCTAAAATCTTGCACTAAACTGTATAAACTCTGGAAGCGACTTTTCTTTCTTTCACATTATCAAACTTTCCAAAAGAAAAATAACAACATTATTTTCCACATTTCTCTTCCTAAACATTCCTAAAATGGAGGCACGAGA